GCATGGTGGTGCGTGCCTGTAGTCCCAACTACTCGGGAGGCTGAGGCAGTAGGATCACTTGAACCCAGGAGATTGAGGTTGCTGTGAGCTAGGCTTATGCCACTGCTGCACTCCAGCCTGGGTGAAAAAAAAAAGAAATTTCATCAAAAAAAAAAAAAAAAAAAAAAAAAAAAAAAAAAAAAAAAAAAAAAAAAGAAATTTCATCACCATCTACATAGAAGCAGAAATGTAATTTCATGGAATTGTCAAGGATAAGGCTTTTCCCTACAAAACAGAACATATCCCTGAGGAATGGCAGAGAAACAAATCTCTCCTCACCTTTTCTTTTGGTTTTTGTTTTACAGGGATACTTGGGCGGGGAGCCACTTTTTTCTGCTTGCTTTGCTCTGAACCTAAAGAATTCAAAATAAATAGCAGTCAGATGCTGACAATGACTACTTTAGGATCGACTGGCCTGTGAAGAAAGGGGTGTTAGAAAAAACAAAAAAACTATTTCAACTCCAAGTTTCAAACAGGAAATTAAGACAATATTTCCAATTTAACCAGGTTTTTTTTTGCTTCTATTTCTTTATTATTATAATAGTTAAAAGCTGGAACCGAAGACTTAAAATTATACATTTCATGTTTCCAAATGCTGTTTAAGACATCAGTGCTTCTTTGCTAGTACATGTGGTTTAACATTCCTTCTTGCCTTCCTGACTCACCTGATTCTGGTGGTGGAGGCTGCTTTTTCTTGGGCTCACTAGGAGTGGTCTTGGGAACTTCTTTTCTTGGTGGTCCTGTGCTAGGTGGCTGTGGGGGGATGACTGGTGCTGGCTGGGAGACCTGCTTGCTGGACTTCCTGGAAGCTGGAGTGGTGACTTGTTTAGATTCAGGCCCAGGGGCAGAGGCATTCCCTTCTTCACTCTTTTCCTCAATGGGCTTTCGTGGAGGAGGCTCACTACTGCTTTTCTTTGGGGCAGGATCCTCTCTTGTTGATGGGGCAGGTTTTTGACTAGAGTCTACCACATTCTTCACAACATTGCTCTCTTTGCTCTCTTTCTTTTCGCTGGTCTTAGACTTTTTCTCTTTCTTTTTCACAGCTAGGGGAAAAAACAACAACAACAAAAATCAACAAGATCATCTCTCTATAAGCAAAAATAATTTTATTTGAGGCCGGGCGTGGTGGCTCACGCCTGTAATCCTAGCACTTTGGGAGGCCGAGGCGGGCGGATTGCTCAAGGTCAGGAGTTCGAAACCAGCC